AATTTAGGTCTTCGTTGAAACCTTATCATAACTTCCGAATAAATAGTTCTGGGTAAAAAAAACTTTTTTCAAAAATTTCAGTCCATGCTTGCATGCATGTTTGAGCCGAGTGGAAAGTATTCGAAAAACTTCTTTGCTCAAAAACCCTGCAGTATGCATTGTTCAATTCGGTTTTCAGGTGGATTCCAGATATCACCTAGGTTCAGTTTCAAACTCACATCTTTCTGGTGAAAAAGGTGAAATTATTAGAACAATTTTTCCAATTTGTTGCTACCGACGACTACATTTGGTGTCTAAGTTTCTTCATAAAGCTACCATTGATAACATTGTAAATTACTCTATGTTATACAGAATTATGCGCACTACAAAATGCGGCATATACTTCTATGCATAACTAAACCTTATAGTATTTTCCCAAAAGACTAATCAGAAAGTGCTTGTTAACGGGCACAATCGTATTTGACTAGAACAATGTACCAGACGTCCGTCTGATCCGGGCGTCAGTTTGTTTGCGCAGACGGTGTAATGATTCGAACTAAGACTATGGAATTATTCATGTCATCTTTCTTTTCATTGGACTAGTGTAGACGGGAGCAGTGGACAGAACAGACTAGTCATGACGGATGGAAGAGACACTCCAGACTAGTGTAGACAATTGTTAAAAACTGGACTGGTATTGACAAGCGAAAGGGACGTTTCAGACTAGTCATGACGGCCGTCTGCAGTAATGTTTTGCTTACTTGGGCAGCTTGTGCGTCCTATCCTGTCTTGCCGCTCAGCCGTCACCTGTTCTGTAGAGATGGGCGAGTCGAGCCGCATTTGTCTTTGACTCGGACTCGAGGTGAAAGACTCGATAAACTTGATAAACTGACTCGAGTCACTTACGAGTCAGCCATGTGCAATTTGGGGTTGTTATGACGGTGTGTATTATATTTGTTATGTACCAGAAGAGAGAGAGTTTTAACAATATTCTAAGTAGAACATCGCGTCACAGGAGAGGATTGAAGAACTGTTCTAGAAAAAAATGAATCAGGAGGAAGTTTTCCTGTAGAAAATGACTCGAAGTTACTCAAGGTGACTCGAGTCAATTTTTGATGCGACTAGGACTTGGACTTCGACTCGACGGCTACTGACTCGGACCCGACTCAGACTCGAAAAAGTGATAACTCGCCCATCTCTCCTGTCCTACTGAGCGACAGGACAGCAGGCCGACCACACGTCCTGTCCTGTGCTCATTTCTGATTCTTACACAAATACTTATATCTATTTAGAATATTTCTGATTTACTGTCGATTATATCTACATTGCATCCCGAACTACTGGAGCAGTTTGATCTCGCCTAAGTTAGAAATGTATAAACTACACTTTGAAGTTTCCATTTATTGGAATCAAAGACGCTCAAATACAATATCGGTTTGGGCAAGCATAACATTGTGGCGTTTCTCGATCCTAAAAATTACACGTCTGTGATTACCACTAGCCTTTTCTGCGAGTGATATTATTTTTCAAAAAAAAGTAAAATGCAGTCTGCACGAGACATTTTGAATTATTTTTGCTTAAAAGATTATCTTCGTACATAAATTTTTTTCAAGTCTAACCTTTTGAATTGAAAACTTTATTTTTATGAATTTTAAATGTGATATTCGTGACAATGTAAAAGTCTATGTCCAGTGCAACGTTTTCGAGACGACAAGACGCTCTAAAAAAAATCCAACGTTAAAAAGTATCGTCTCGGTATGAATTATATATTTGTTTCTCAGTGCTACTGAAGAACAACTATTTCATTGCCATATACAAATTGATTCAATGACGTTATTATTCTGTAATCGATAAATGACACAAATTCAAAAAAATATCACTGATATGAGTGATATGCATGTCGGAGGCATGTATAGCATTGTTTTCTGATAGTCTGTCAGAGCTCTAAGTAATAATTCTGTTTTCTGTTATAACGTATCGATTCAAACCTTGATGCTTTCTTTTTCCTTTATGAGTTACCAAAGAAGGGATAAGATGTAGATTCTTTTTCTTATTTGCGGTCTTGGTCACGTTTTTCTTAACATTTTATAATAAAAACGTTAGCTATAAAAAAAGATTTTTTGCTTTCAAGTACATTTCTAACCATGCGTAGCAGCGTTGTTGTCAAAAGTAGAAAGCCTCAGCGCAGCTAGTTATTACTGAAACAAAAAAAATTGATCAGCATATATATATTTATTTCACTCTATAGCGCATTTTACAGTTAGAAAAATAAATGGCTTTCTATGGAAATTTTGGTGGTCCAGGCTTTGGCAGTCCATTTGGATTTGATGGCGGTTTCGGAAGTGGTGCATATGGTGGGGCAGCAGGTGGATTTGGCGGGTATCCTGGTGGATACGGAGGGTATCAAGGTGGATTCGGAGGGTATCCAGGTGGATACGGCGGATATTCAGGTGGATACGGCGGGTCTCCAGGTGGATACGGCGGGTATTCAGGTGGATACGGCGGGCCTCCAGGTGGATACGGCGGATATGCAGGCGGGTATCCAGGTGGATATGCAGGCGGTTACGGTGGGTATCAAGGTGGATACGGTGGATATCCAGGTGGTTACGGTGGGTATCAAGGCGGGTACGGCGGGTATCCAGGTGGATTTGGATCATACGGCTCAGGTCAAGTTCTCGGAGGTAATCTTCCACATGTCGATCCAAACAATTATAGCGGAGTACGCTGGGGACCGCCGAACATTCAGCCTATTGCAAATAATTACGAGAACTATTTTTAAGCATTTTATCATCTGCGACGTATTAGTTTATGGACTATGGTCAAGCGATGTTTTAAGTTTTTTAAAACATTTTGAGTATTGAATTCGTTAGAGTGTGTGAAAGTTGTTGAATTCACTGATGATGCGAATATATATACAAGTACACACATGCAGATAAATAAATTGAATTGAATTGTTCTTACAGTATAGGCAGTTGCTGCTTTAACTCTCTGTTGTTTTTGCCTTTTAAAACTCACAACAGAAACGTATGAGTCACATGTTGATGCAGTAAAATTTGGAATCATCCTGCTAAACAGAAATTAAATAATATCTGGTATAACTGACACATATATGGCACCCAAAATAACTACAAATGAATACATTGGTATCCCAGTTTAGTCCGACAATGGCTAACGCAGGTTTTTATGCCATTTTTTATACAAAACTATAGAAAATTTTCTGATGCTAGAATATACATCAGTATCAGGAAACTGACGATTTTATTCCAGAAAAGTTAAAAACTTTTACTAAGAGAAAAATGCTGTTTGCTATTTGGATTGGCGTCATACACTCTTTGCACATTTGTCATTCTTGAGTAATTTCATTGACACAAAGATTGTATGAAAAACTGCTTCGGCTTTTCACAGATGCTGAAACTATACAGAATTTAATAGTACCTGTAGATTATATTCATGCTCTAAATTAAAAGCAAATAGTCAAATGTCTACGTTGTAATGTTGTGATACTTTCAGAATTTGTATCACTTTTGTCCTAGAAGTGATTTTTTGTGGCTCAAGCACGTTTTCCATGGAAATAAAAGCTTCGAATAGTAGTTTTTCCTGGATACTCATGCAATTAAATGTTCTGCTGAACGCGCATATCTGTAGAGCAGACTTTTCTGATCAAATTAATACGTCGCACAACTCTGTATGATCTTGTGACAAAACGTTACAAACATTTTCCTACAAGTCCTAAAATGAACCAACCGAGGCACTGCGTTTTCTCTCAGAACACACATCTTGTGCAGACATTTTCAGTATAAGGCACTTGTTTTTCAATAATAATTCATCGTAGAGAGACTCTCTTTTTTTAATCGAAAGATAATTCAAAGGATACAGCTTCGTGTATCCAAATGTTGTTGTGTATTAGCAAAAAGAAACAACTAAAAGTGGAATTACAACACGGTATCAATGCTGACCGAGACCAGATTCATTATTTAATAGTACAAAAACATTTATGAAAAACAGAATGACGACTGATGAAATGCATTATGGATGTTCGTGTTAAAATATAAAGGTTTCTGGATACAAGAGGCGTAGATCAATGTTCTATTTCAAAAATCGAAAAAAATAATCGAAGGAATTTCTATAAGTGATTAAAAACTTTGTTGATGTGAAGAAAATGTGCACATATCGATCCACTAGTAGTGTTATTTGATTATTATTTCTTATCTTAACTGAATTCGATGTTCTAGCTTGATCTAAATGAAATGGTATTAGAATAAATATTGGTGCAAAAATCATTATATAGGCCGTAGCTGGTGCAAATAAACTAACTGTTCTTATGGAACAGTTAAACTATACATAGAGAATATACATCAATAAAGCACAACGATGAAAAACATGTAACATTTGTCCCAATAACGTTCATATCGAGAGAAATATCACTTTATTTTTGTGTTAATTTTTACTAAGGGGTTTTTCGTGGTTAAATATCAATATAATACTCCTACAATAGAATTTAAAGAACGATGAGCTATAGTACTGCTATTTTTTGCTTTCACTCTCCTCTTCTCTCGTTATAAATAAAGAGTAGTACAAGCAACACTTAAAATTACCTAAACCCGTCTGAAGGAAAAGAAACTGTCTCAGGTACTTGTTGATTGCATCAATGAATGCAAAGCATGATCGTTCCTGTAATCATCGCTCACCAAATGTTCATCGTAATTGCCTGTCACTTCTTGTCTTTGCCTACAGCTGAGCAGATCATCAAGCGTTAAACGCCGGATTGTAATCGGTGATAATGGTAGAATATCTTTAAGTGTCAAACGTTGAATTGCGCTAATTCTCAAGTGGGTACTAGGTACAGTCGTAGCAGATTCTGTACTGATCTTTCTCAAGTCCGTCAAAGAGCTGCTAATTCGGTTTTTCGTTAAGACTGGAGCGGAAGGAAGGGGTTTATGAGACTTGGTTGATGTTTTCGTCTTTGTTCGGCGTACAAGAAGATAGAGAAGAATTGCCCAGACACCTTCAAGTCCATTACACACGATAAATATCCATTCTATAGCTAATGCAGCGGTGTAGGATATTCTCAGAAATGGACCTAAAAGATAATTTCAGTGGACAATACTATTTTCTACTTAGGATCAATAAATACTTACCGAATATCCATGCAAGACTTTGTGTTATACAAGCAGATAATAGAACAAGAATAACTTTTTTTCGTCGTTCTTTTCCCTGCTCCAATTTTTGTCCTGCTCGTACAAAGAAAAAGAGCCGTCTTGCGACAAATAAAATAAGGATTATATTCATTAAAATGAAGATACATATCGGTATAGTTAAATACCAGTATAATACAGTTGGAGTAAACCAGCATATCTGCTGTTTGTACAGATACGTTATCTGATAAATTGGATTTGAGTTGAATCCGGCTAGAAAACTGAGACATAACACGGCAATGAAGAATGATATCACCAATAACACAATCAAACGTGTGTAGCTGACTGTTGTTGCTTGAGAAAATCGGAGATAATTAAAATAGCCCACCGATGTTTTGCAGGAGAACGCGAATATAATAAGAAAATATGTAATGTACATAAGGGTGAGAGAGCTTGTGAAACACACAGTTGATGATGACGGATTAAGATAAACGGTCAATAAAAGCGCAAGATAGAAGATGAACATTAAACAGGTAACTCCACACGATATCAACGGTAACATATCTGAGGGAACAATTCGAATGTGTGTACAACAGATTTTGGTAATGGATGCGTGAACAAGAATACACAGAAAAGCGATAATGGAAAATGATTGAAATGCTATCGATATGTAATCAGATGCTGAGTACACTTGACTAATATTACCTAAACATTGTTTCAAAAAGTTTTTATTATTAGACTATATACCCAGCAACTTTAGGAGAAGTATGCTGCAATATGGAAAACCTTTTCCAAATCTTTTAGGATAAAGAAATATTTGAAAATAACTGCATAATAAAATAATTTTTTAAAATAATGCCATCATTAGAATTAATGGTATTTATCTAATGTGAACTTTTTTAACACCGGCTATGTGACTTCTCATATCTCAATATTTGCGGATTGATAACTAATAATTTTCGGCATATTCAGCTTCTGCCTTTTCATTTTTTTATAAACTTGAGCACGAAACTCTATTATGAGCTGAAAAGATCTATGATATATATATGTAGCCCCCTTCTTAACTTTTCGCGAGTGATCTGTTCTGAGCACGCTGTCAAGATAGAGCAGTTCTTCTATAGGAAAGAGCGTTTAAACAGAACAGTAATATTAGTACTGACTAAACGCTTACCTTGATTGATTTCATTCAATGGTAACCAAATAAGTGCGAATGTTGTAAAGTGCGAACAGTTACACTGATAAACTGACGAATATGAAACAATTGATGTACTTATTTTTGGTGCATCGCACCCTGAAGAATTCCATCCAGCACCATCCCAAAATGAACATATTAAATTCGGACTGTTTGGGATACCTTCTATATTGAGTGTAAAGTAAAGTTGAACGCTCGTGTTATATATTTGTGGTTCTGTGCTGACAAGAACTACAGATGATGATAATTTAGAAGTGTTCGTATCATACTGAAGGTAGTTAGTCGGTTGATCGATCAATAATAATTTTAATAACGATACGTTGCTTAATTGTACTAAATCAGTTATTACGACTGCCGCAGATATACTGTTAAGCTGCTCCGTGATGTTGCTTCCGTTTAATACACTTTTGCCTCCTTGCGAGTTGATAAAAGAAGCTCCAACAATCAAGTCAGTATTCGAGACTGGCTTAGTAGACAATAAATAAGCATTCATGGAATTACGTAAGACAGTGGTATTTATTGCATCTAGGGCATTGTTTAATACATTGGCATTGACCGTATTTGATGTCACATTTCCATTTGCCGTACCTTGTGTTATATTGTTCAGGGCAGTAAAATAGTCTATCACCGCATCAGCAATTGTGCTCGTATTTGTGTTATTAATATTTGTAAGTATAAATGCAGAATTATTCTAGAGAGAAACATTTTCATTTCATTGATGATTTCTACTCGATGACACGAAAAATTATCTCAGGTGATTACATTTGACCCTAGCGCGGCTCTGTTAATTTAATTCTAGTCGATCTACTTTGTTAGTCATCTGAAAAACGGAGTACCGGCCACTGGCGCTCGAGAGTCTACACTATGTATGTTGATTTCTAACGATGATCATTTCAATAGTCAAAATGTCTTTATCCGATATACACTAAGGAAATTAGAGATTTTTGTCACACTTTGTGTTACTCTGAGTAACATTCTGCAGGTTTTGAAGGTGTTCAAACGGAAATGATAATGATAATGATAATGTTCTTCTCTCTTTTTATGGATACTTACAAGTACAATGGTTGAATTCAAACAGGTTCTATTAAGTGTAGAAAACACGCTTCCATTTGTACAAGTGGCTGAAAGAAAAAAGGAAAATGGAAGAGAATCATGAAAACATGCTGAATTATAGTTGATTTCACCACTAAGACTGTTACAATATTTCTACTTACTACTGTTAGATGAAATTGTCAATGCAAATGTGGTGAAATGTGTGCAATCACATCGGTACACTGTCGTTGACGAAACGATCTGATTATCTATGGTTGGTTGTCCTTGACAGCCCGAATTATCCCAGATCACTCCGTTCCAAAATGAACATTGCAGCAAATTCGTTGGATTAGAAAGAATCTCGTTTATATTATATTTAAGCGTAAAATAAAGTGTGACTCCCGTATTGTTTATCCGAGGAGTGGTGGTAACAATAATAACAGAAGAAGCTAACTTCGTTGTATTTGTATCATATTGTAAATAATTACTCGGTTGATCGAGAAACAACAGTTTTATTAGTGAAACTCCTTGTAACTCTTGTGTATCATTGATAACGGCTGCAGCTGTTGTACCTTGAATTTGAGAGATGGTGCTTGATGAATTGGTTACCATACCACCGCCGTAAGAAGCATTAAAGACACCACCACGTAAACGTGTGTTGTTAGACAAAATAGGTGAATTTGTTATAAGAAAAATACTGTTAGCATTTCGAGTGATAGAAGAATTTAAATAATCCCCAACGACTGTATCCATTACATTTGCAGACAGTAAAAGAGATGAACTTGTTAATGAGTCCAATGCTGTATAATAATCTTCAAGGGCATTACCCAATACACTTATATTAACAGGAGTGACATTGTAGTTTGCAATTAATAAAAATGAAATGTTCTAAATATTACAAGATAGTTTTATTTCACTTCTAGAGCCTCGTATTCAAAATTCTAGTAAGAAAAAGCGGTCTTCTGTTCCCAAAGTTACCGGAATACGTGATCTGGGTTCAACGCTTGGAAAGTTTTTTTTCTTACCAGCGACATGCCTCGTGCTACACAGAAGCCATAATATAACGAATAAATAGAGCCATTAGAGCAATTTGCTATAAAAAAGAATAAAATGTTTCACATAAGATGAAAAGATTGGTATTCGAATCAGCATTTAAAACATGCTTATCTTTTCTTCTAACAGCGTGCGAATAAAGTCAAGATGCAGTTTCTCATGATGACTTACAAGTAGATGTTGTGACTAATGTCGATGTTGTTGGTGTAACTGTTGATACGGCTTCACTTGACAAAAAAATCTTGTTTAGATATTTTGAGATAAACATACGCCGCTTTCAATTCGAACGAAAGATATTTTTAGTTTCGGTTACAACATTGCAATTTTTCCAATATTCACATGTTGAACCGATGCGAAATGTTTTCGGAGAATTTGGGAATATTTTGTAATTATCCTGCTGAGCAAGTAGTTTTCTCAACTCTGTTTTGCTACTTTAACCCTTTATGACAGCTGATTATACACAGCGAACTTGAAACTCGTGTACTTTTGTTTAGAGTGATAGAAAAAATTTCTTTATAGTAAACGCTAGCTGATGATGCCGCCTTACGTTGGAATAAAATTCGTTTTTTTTATGCGACGTACCATCACCTTGCTATGGCGATTCTACAATATTCACTAATGTCCACTGGAGTTGACATTGGAATGTAAAGAGTTAATGTAATGTCAGAAAGATCCCTTCATTTGTGTATCATTGATAACGGCTGCAGCTGTTGTACCTTGAATTTGAGAGATGGTGCTTGATGAATTGGTTCCATACCACCGCCGTAAGAAGCATT